TTAAGTTTCCAATCCAGCCATGGGATTTGACAAATCCAATCTTGGTGATTAGAAATTCCAGATCTGTTAAGTTTCCAATCCAGCCATGGGATTTGGCAAATCCAATTTTGGTTAGAAGGTAAATCAAGTCTGTATTTTGGATATCCAAGACTGTAGATATATCTTTACAATTTTAGTTTTTCCTGTATACAGTTTGGGATTTCTTTTATTTTCCAGCTTTGGATTATGGAATATCCAAATTGAGATAGCCAAAATTGGAAAAATTGCATTTTCCCCAAATTTGGATTCTATTTAAAAACCAATTAGAAAACAGGTAGAAACCAAGTGATATCCAACTTGGATTTTAGTAATTTTTTCCAGTGCCAGTCAATGCATATTTTCAATGGTTGGGTAAGTACCATAATATACTGTCAAACAATCAAACAGTGCACCCTCATATACTCTACTATCAAGGGAATGCTAGGAAATAAGCTGTTCACTAGAGATGTAAATGACAGGAGACATGTTTTGATGGAAATGTTGCATTCATGCACACCTGAACCTAATAAAAATTTAGTACTCAAAGCATTTAAAGAAAGAGACTCAGATATACATGTCCTGGTGGCAACCATAGCTTTTGGGATGAGCATATACTGTAAAGGTGTTCACCGTACTATACATTTTGGCCCATCCAAGAATATTGAATCCTACATACAAGAAAGTGGACAAGCAGGAAGAGATGGAGAGCAAAGTTCTTTATTTATACTTTATCAGGGATTAATGCTTAATCATGTCAACAAAGATATTAAAGAATATCTCAAGACAGCTTGCTGCAGGAGAAAGCATTTACTTGGAAGTTTTGATTTAGCTTCTCAGGTTATTAATCCAAGTCCCATGCACTTATGTTGTGATATATGTGCCAAGAAATGCTCTTGCAAAAGCCTTGAATGTGGAGTTCTTACCAAATTTCCTTATGAACAGCAGACCTCAAGTGTCAGTGAAAGATCAAGGGACATTACTGAGGAACAACTCGATATGGTTTAAACTTCACTTTATTCCTACCACAAATCATTAGTAAAGCAAGTGGTATAGACTTCTTCTTATAATGTTAAGAACAGTAATATGAAATTTCTTATTGGTTTTTCGGAGTTGCACATCAAGTCATCAAACACTGTGATAAACTCTTTACCATTGACAATGTGATAAATCATGTTGAAATATGGGATATTAAACATGCATATAATATTTTAAGAATCCTCAGCCAAACCTTTGGAGATGTATCTGAGATTGAATATACAGGACAAGAAGAGTCTATGGAAGATGATGATGACTTTGATAGCTGGAATTTCATATTAGAAGATGATGCCTTGTTTGATTTAGCAATGGAAAATTTATCTGCTTCTCTACTGGATGTTTCCATGGTTGAGACATTAAACTGTTCTACTGTTAATCCTGTTAGTACTGTCTTTTCTTGCATATATGTCTGTGGTCACTGCTCTTGTTATTAGGGTATCTAGGTCTTTTTCGGTGTCACTAAGATTACGGCTGCCAGAATCATTTACCCTTTGCAGGCTATCATCAAGTCTTTTCAAGAGCTTTCTCATGTTCCTTTCTGCATGGCAAATGTGCTCAACTGCCTTTTCGGTGGCATTTGGCCCTAGATTTTTAATAGCTTGCTTTAGAAATCTATTACTGTGCTCCATGTCAAGATCAAGGGGTATGTTCCTTCCAATGCCTCCAAATGTGTTTACTGTTCTGTTCCATGTAAAGCGCTCTGCATCTCTTGGACTAAGAATAGCATTTATGAGAAATGACTGGTAAAGACATTCCAGGGCATATTTCGTACTTTTTTGTCCATCTGCTCTGAATGACAGCAAAAGAAATTTATACTGTCTGATAATCCTACTGCCATCACCCTCTGCAATAGCATCCAGAAAGTTTAAGAAAAATAATCCATCTTCCAACAAGGCACAGTTGTAGCTGTGAACATCATCAATATTCTTTGTCTCTTTCTCCTTGGAAGAAGAATTAAGAGGCAAGTCTGAATTCTCTGATATGTGACATGAATGACTTTCCTCATGTTTTCTTCGACTAGCTCCATCATACTTAAATGTTGCCTTACAACCTTCACTTCTACAGGGATATCAGCCATTGGAGGTTTGTGGCTGCTGGTTTTTTGTCCTCTTGTTCTTGTGTCAGGATAATTTGGTTACAAATGTCATTAATGCCTGTAGATTCTTCTAGGACCAGTTCATCAATGATTTTGGCTGCTGCCTTGTGTAAGTAGTGTAGCTTCTGTTCTTTGCTTGCTTTTGCCATATCCTCTGGCATTGGGAACTCAGTGGGGCTTGAGCACTTGTCATTGATACCTACAACTTTCATTGCACCAGCTATAATCCTTGACTTTACCACCAGCACAAAGAAGTAACGGTCTGCTCTGTATGCTGTTTTGGGATCCTCTTTGACATTTCTCCTATTAATTAGAGTTCGATCCGAGTATAAAGTGCAGGTATCACTCTCAGATTTGCAATTGTAGTAGTGTTTAAAAATTTGCTGAAAAATTAAAAATATATTTATTTAATATTTTAGCCTTCCCCTTTCCTAAATACAACAAAGTAGACACAGCAGGTTGACTTAGATGTCATTTAAGAAAATAAATTAGAAATTATAGTTTTTCAATCATGCATAACTTTTTAAAAACTTAATACAAAAAATAAAAAAGCACAGTTGTGTAGAATATATAATTATATAGAAAGGAAAAGTAATTAATTAATTATAACTTGGCCATGCACATATATATTTTATTATATTTAATTATTAGAGTTAGCAGGGGAGAGATTGCAAAAGAAACTTACTGTCAAAATTTTCACAGCTGCATGCCAATCATCAATTTGCAAATTGAAGCCTTCAAGGCATTCTTCAGCACTAAATCCATTGCTTACTGATTCTATCACATTGACAGCTCTCTCCACTGAAACCTGGTCTCCAGTAAGAAGTTGAGGATCAAATGTATCTTCTGCAATTTTGGGGAGGTATGTTTGGAATTATTGAAGTATTTCCAACATTTCTGCATTCTCATTTTCATTCTTGAAAATTACACCCAATGGGACCTGTATTTTGAAAAAATTCATATGATTACATATAAACTATGCCATAAATCTACATTTCTCTATTTCATTATTATAATAACATGCATAATTAATGTGTATCTACATTTATAGTACCCCTCACCCCCAATTGCAAATTTCTTTTCTTAGTAGTTAGTGTTTCAATTTACAAATGACAAATAAACTCAAATATGGCACCTTCTATACATAATATCCCAATAACCTTTTTAGCATATTGGAAGTATAAAACTTGATATTTACAAGAGGCATCACTCAAATCATATGAAACTATTTTACCATTCAATTGTTCACTTCATGTAAGATCAATACTGAAAATTACGGTGGCCCACAAGTCTCACGGCAAAACAAAAACTCACGGCAAAACAAACTAAACTCATGGCAAAACAAACTAAACTCACGGCAAAAGGCAATAAATTCACGGCAAAATAAACTTAATTCAGAAATAATGAAAGAATAATGCAGAATAAAGAAAGCCACGGCAGAATAAACTAAACTCACGGCAGAATAAAGAAAGCCACGGCAGAACAAAGAAAGCCACGGCAGAATACAATAAAGGTTGTGGTGGGCAACGACGTATTGGGTTCGCTGTTGATTTTTTTATTGCGAGCAATTTGTCAGCAGTTTTGATGCTGTAAATACAAATGGCGTCTGGTTAAATACTCATGAATTTACAATGCAAAGTTTATCAATTTATCATAACCTTTAAAAGACTTTAGACTTCAATATTGACCCTGAAACAATAAGAACGCTTTATGATTATTCCAAAACAAAAAGTTTCAATGATAAGAACCTAAGCTTGACAAGAAATAATTAAAAATGAACGTATGTAATGAAATGAATGGTTTTAGGAGATATTTTTGAAGAGAAAAATCGGTTCAAGGTTTGTCATAGGCGGGTATGTGATTTCAAGCCGATCGGTTGTTTGGATGCTCGATGTTCTAGCTCAATCAATCACATTTGAATAAAGTTATCAAATGAAATATCCACCACTTAGCACCATTTTGAGGTGCGCAAGTAACAGCTCTTATGGTCAAAGGCCACCTTTCCTCATTTAGTTCTCGGATGTTTTGGCAGTCAGGAAACAAAACAATCCTTCRTTCGCGAGGGTTGCCAGTGAAGCTAATGTGGCCCCCAACTAGTTAATTGAAAGTATACACAGTGTAGATATAGGAAATCCCCAACTGCAAGAAAATATTCATACAAAACCAGAGAGACAGATTTGACATACATAATACTTTCTCGCCAGGAGATGTTCACACAACGACAGTCAAATGCAAATGAAGCATAATGAAACTTTTAACCCACAATGCTTCACGCGACTTGATCACCCTCCTCTGATTCTGCCGTGGCTTTCTTTATTCTGCCGTGAATTTAGTTTATTTTGCCGTGGCTTTCTTTATTCTGCTGTGAGTTTAGTTTATTTTGCTGTGGCTTTCTTTATTCTGCCCTGAGTTTAGTTTATTTTGCCATGGCTTTCTTTATTCTGCCGTGAATTTAGTTTATTTTGACGTGAATTTATTGCCTTTTGCCATGAGTTTAGTTTGTTTTGCTGTGAGTTTAGTTTGTTTTGCTGTGAGTTTAGTTTGTTTTGCCATGAGTTTTTGTTTTGCCGTGAGACTTGTGGGCCACCGTAGAAAATATTCATTAAGTAAGTGAATGAATAAATGAATGAATAAATTACAGTATAATGAGTAGTGCTTTTGAAAAACATTTTAAAAGAAACATTAAAAGTATTGGGCATTTTGCTAACCTCGTCATTCTCAACAAAATTCATTATGTCGTCTCTAATTCTTCTTTTAAAATGAATGAATTGATCGAAAAAAATTAATGATTGAAT